AAAATTATCAACGTGACTTTGTTAAAATTTGAAATTAAAGTAGGTGTGATTGTTTTAAATTGAGACAGCAGCTAAGAAAAGACTCAGGAAAGTCAGAAGAGTCTGAAAAGACTCAATTTTAAGTAATTGTTTTAAAACTGAAAAGCCTGTTTAAAAAAATTAACTTGTGAAAGCATCCAGTGAGTATGTGGTGATTTTTATGCAGAGTAGATACTGTGAACAGTATTTGACTGACAGTACATATCTTAAAGTTTAATTGTGTTTGGTTTGAAAAAAAAAATCAATCCTAAGTATCTATTCTTGATAAAGAGCTAGAAAAATCTTTCAAGTATTATGACTATTTTTACTATAACCATAAACTGTTAAAAGGGTTGAATTTCCATTTACTGCTTGCAACCCTTTTCCCTAAAACTCAGCCTTAAATAGCCCAAGAAATATTTATTGTATCTCCAAGTGAAACTTAAATACCTTTCCTCTTTTACAATTTCTGAATGACCCAGCAAGGGCTCTAGTAAAGCTTTACTGAACCAAGCTGCTAATAGTTATTTAATGTTGTTCTGTAGCCTGAAAGAATCTCAGTAGATTTTTCCTTTTAATCTCTTTGAATTGCAGGCTCATAAACCTCTCTGATGAGCCTGCCAGTGTTTTCTTAGATCCTGCAGTTGAGACAATGGAGCTGCAGAATCCTTTCACCTCTTGTTGTCAGACAAATCCAATAGATGGCAAAGCCAGGCAGGCTGTGCTGCTGGGAATTAAAATTTGTTTCCCAAGTTCTGCTGCTCACAATTCCCCCTGGATGTTCAGGGTGGGTTTCAGAAGTGACAGCTCTGAAGAAAACTCAGCACACAGAATTTTACAGCCTGAGCAGACATCACAGGACCCAGCACTCAGTGGGACATTCCCTCTCTCTTTGGGGCTGGGAGGGAAAATGGGACACCAGTTTGCTTCAGACAAGCACCAGCAAGGAGCCATGGTTGTAATAACAGTGATACAGATGAAATAAGGAAGGGCACAAAAATCTGAGAGATATTGGGTTAGATGTTCTGCTTGCAAACTCAGACTGGGCTGTGCTTCTGTTTTTTAAGTGGCTTCCTCTGTTTCTGCTGTCTCAAGGTGTATTAGGCTGGGTAATGGCTTTAGTAGGAGAGCTAGAAAATAAAAAAACTTTGTTCATCTGTGGAAAATGTTCCTCCTGCTTGAACCAGCCAGGCAAATAAATGCAGTGTGCAAAGCTGCCTGACAAGAGCTGGTACTGGATCATGTGGGAAGTCAAGAGTACTAATGGCAAATTTTGGGGTTTTTTTGAGATAACCAGATTTCAGACTTCATAGAATCACAGTCATAGAATATGCTGAGTTGGAAGGGACTTAGGGGGATCAGTGAAGGCTGTGCACACCCCAGGAATCACACCCTGTGCCTGAGAGCATTGTCCAAATCTTTCCAGAGCTCTGCCAGGCTGGTGCTGTGAGCTCTGCCCTGGGCAGCTGTGCCAGTGCCCAAACACCCTCTGGGGGAAGAATCTGTTCCTGATATCCAACCTGAACCTGCCCTGATTCCAGGCCATTCCCTGAGTGCTGTCCCTGTCCCACAGGGATCAGTGCCTGCCCCTGCACTGACTGAGCTCCAGCCATTCCCTGAGTGCTGTCCCTGTCCCACAGGGATCAG